TGTACGTTGCATGCTGTAACTTAGCGATGATAGAACGAAAGATACTGTAAAAAAATTCGGGCACTAACCTCATGCACTGCAACTCCACTGGGTATGGGTCTCTCGACAGCATTATGAAGATTACGGGAGTATCAATTGTAACTTTCAATCTGAAAGAAATGATATACTTTCAATGCGCAGAGATAGCTTCAACTGCCACATTCAATCCAAAGATTTAATGTACTCGCAAAGCACAGTGTTACTCAAAAAACTTTCAGCAGTCGGAAAAGGGAGAAAGGCTCACCTATTCATCCCTTCTACGGTGGGATCCCAATAAGTGACTCGTTTTGCTGTACTCAAGGCATTCCACTGGTAGAGCTCCTCCTAAAATTTCCTACTTACAGCACAACATCTCAAGAACATAAGCAGAGCATTTGAGAAAAGAACGATTTCCGTCTTTATTTTGTCGCACAATTTTTCTTTAAGGAAAAGAAATATCAAATAGATACTATATCGCTCAATGCCCAACATGCCAAAATCAAATACAGTCCGCAATCACACTCTCTGCTGCGAAATTAAACTTGTGTCAGCGCGATTGCTAACTATACATTCACTGTCATAATGAGTGATAATGTTGTTTTATTTTCAAATTTTTGAAGTTTCGCCTCAGTTGCTAGTTCTCCACCTTGCCACCTGTCATGAGCCAATAATCAAGTAGATAAGTAACCATAACTGAAACGTACCTGCCGTTTCCGTTTGTATACCTCCACACAAGATACACACTTCTCAGCTGCATCACCCACACCGCGGAAAATCACGCGTCGCACAGTTTCATCCTATAAGATCTCGGAACATTTATGCAATACCACAGCAGCTCTAGCAAGATGACGCACCTCGAACATTTTATTCACAAAGTCGATGATATGCCCGAACTTTGTGTTCTTTTTTAGTTCCATGACCTTCACGCCTGATTTTAGCGAGTCATCAAATGGTGGCTCTGCATCCAGTATCTCTTCTTCTTCCGATATTACATATTTGTCCATGTTACAACCACCCTTACTTCGTTACTATAAAAAAAGGCATTGAGACACCATTTTATGCTGTTCTTTCATCAACGATGGAAATGCATAAGCCAACTTGACAAAAAACGCGGAGTCAAACCATGTTAAAAAAATTGGATACAGTGACGTTACAATAAATTTATCACTGAACGTATTATTACAATCCAACAATGAAAAACATAAAACTTAGGCAAGAAATGCAACCTACAAAACGCTTCCAATCGAGGTAAGACATAAATCTGCTAAAAGATGTTACCAATGATTACTGATGAGTACAAAATGTGATAAATTAGCTTCCTTCCGAAGCAAGTTGAAGAAACATGAAAAAAA